GGAAGATGAGAACTGGCGACTTTGTAGTACAACTTTAGTACGCGGAGTATCTGGGGAGCTGGAAGATGAGAACTGGCGAGTCATCTCTCGCGGCTGCTCTGGCGCCCCTGCAGCTGAGTCATGTCTCCCGACCACCCGGCTCTCTTGAGAGGTTGACAATTTTAGCTACTTTGCTTACTCATAAGTGGCTGCCACAAAAGAGTCATCGTGACGTTAGTATGTGTGTACTTCACCTTCATGACAAACGATGTTCGCTTGGAATACACGAGTCGCTTGTCATGATCGTGACGTCGTTTACTCTCAGGTCGCCCTGTTCGTGGAAACTTCAGTGTAAAATGTACGTTCTTCAGTTCTATTTGAACCGCTTCAGCGTTGTACTTGCACAACTAAGGTTGACATTGCGCTGCCGTTGCATCGACGCATCTACGTCTACACCCCCTCACCTCTCTACATTTACATCTTCACACCCTCACATCCGCAGATCTACCTCTCCACCTCACCACACCCACACATCTGCACATCTATATCACATCTGTACATCCACACTGTCGCTCCTTCACATCTGTCCTGTCTTTCTTTCTTTCTACATATCTTTTCTCTCGTCTCTGTGCATTTACATCTTCGCACGCTCACATCCACAGATCTACCTCTCCACCTCCATACATCTACACATCTGTATCGCACCTGCACATCCACACTGTCACTCCTTCACATCCACCCTCTCTTTCTCTCTTTCTATACATCTTTTCGACTGTGCTGGGCAATTACATGTCTCGCTCTTGGGCCAACCGTCGTCTAGTTTTTCCTGGGTCCCAGCCCTCTTCTCAACATGCTGTGCATATTGACCACCAAGAAAGCTGTTCGCTTGCGTCCTCGTCCTTCGTCCCCATGGATGACCATGGGGGCGCATTGCGACAAATCGATGTCCTTGACGCGCTCTTTCAAAAACAGGATGAGTTGGAAACTGGGTCTCATAATTTGACCAAAATGCACTAAGAATCGCTTTCTCCCGCTGCCAGTCTGGTCGCCGAAGTCCATATCAAGCATAGCTTGCTACTTGCTATACGGAGACGCGCCCGATGCCGCCGACCTCTTTTCTAGCATCACCAGGGCTCAGGTGGATTCGAAAAAACATCAAAAACACAGGGGAAACGATCAAAAATTGCCCTTGATTAACAATGTTTCCAAACATCTTAGAAAATAAAGCGTTGAACATGGATACAGGCTTAGAGGAGAAATTTGGGTCGAGCATCATTAGCCTCAGCAGAGGCTCGGCAGGAAAGATGTAAATTCTTTGGTGCACGACTAGGCAGAAAACACTGTACATTACAGTGTTTTTGCAACATGTATGTAGTTTATGAACAACGCTGCTCGTGTTCTGGTGATGCCAATGGTGCTCGACACAACTGCTACCTCA